AAAAATGAGTTTGAACTCAGTGCTTCAAGGAAACCCAGTACGTGCGCTGTACTGTACTGTACACCGGTGGATTCTGCTGGTTCAGGTGGTGCACGGAGGCCAGCAGCCGCCACACCTATGAAAATATCAGTAACTTAAACCAGGACAGGAAACAGTCCCGTCCACGAGCTTCTCCAAACAGTTCTGATTGGTTCTAATCAGCGTCTGCAGGAACGTGTGCACAGGTGAACGCAGGTGTCGTTTACAGAGTCAACAATGTTGTGTTTGAACCTCGGCCACGTGGACCTCATCACAGCTCTGTTCTCCCACCGTGTTTGGAAACGCAGCACCGGGACTTCAGCTTGACTCAGCTAACCAGCAGCGCCACTATACGTTTGTGGTTCCTCTGTGGTGGTTGGTGGCAGAAGGGGGGAGAGAGGGAGGGGGGTATTTGGACTTTCCAAATGTCTCCCTCCCTCCCTGCCTCACCCTCTTCCTCCCTTTTACTCCTGGTCAGGGAAAGACGACAAGTCCTAAAGATTAATTTTAAAAAGTCTCCGTCCAAATTCCCAGCCCTAAATAAAAGCCGGACTCCAGATCAGGGAGGAGGTCCTGCCCAAACCCCCCCACCCCTCCCATCTCTCCCAAACCCCTGACCATCTCTCAGTCAGTGAGATGCCCTCTCAGAGGAATGTGTGGTCTCCTCACACGACCATAAACACCTGGCAGAGCCGGGGGAGTCACAGAGCAGCCCATTACCAGGGAATGCTCTTTTGTTGTGGTTCGGCAGTGAAACGGGAGATTTCTTTTTTTCAGAGTCACGATCCAGTGAAGGCATCGTGTCTGCTCTGGACTTAACTGCTTTGAGACAAGTCTGAGAGCTGTGAAGCCAAAAGGGTGCGGACAGAGAAATTCTCCACTTCTTTACGGGGGCGTGTCTCCATGTTTTTTTCTTGCCTTTTATTTCACATAATTGTCTTGTCGACCAGACGCTCCCAGAGATACGTTAACGCCGAGACTGACAGCTAAATGGACACGGTAATATAAACACATAACACCACTACAGGTATTTAGCCAGTTGGATGTGGACAGCAGTCAAGATTCTTTATGGTAAAACTGGGCGAGCAGTGTTTCCGACACTCCTGGAGTCGATAGTACCAGAGCGAGTTACGAGGTCAACGTCGGCCTCATAAAGTACAGGTGTTTATATGAAGAATGTTTCCTGAATTTAAAGCTACAAAACACAAACTAGTTCCTGGGAAAATTTATAAAGATGGAAAAGTTGGTCTGGCCTAACTTTTCTGGGCCAAATATTTGACCACTTATGGATCTAATTTTCCCAGAGGCCACACAGGCTCTGAGTGAAAAAAAAAGAACTCTGATTTGAGCCCTGACTCTAACTGAGGTCTGGAAAAAAAAAGAACTCTGATTTGAGCCCTGGCTCTAACTGAGGTCTGGATTAGGGATTCACTGATACTGGTACTGGTACTGGTACTGGGTCCTGTACAAATACTGGTACTTGTGGTATTATTTTTATTGCAGGGTTCATGAGCTATATTTGTCACGAGCCGCCGGTTGATGATTACTGTTTTACTGGTGTGAAAATGATCGCATAGATCAATGGTTTGACTGAAAGGTGTAATGATCAAACTGAACTGATGGAGACGCCGGAGAGACACGTCCACACATTTTTGGATACATTTTAAATCTCATATGTCTTAGAACTAATGATCAAACTGAACTGATGGAGACGCTGGAGGGACACGTCCACACGTTTTAAATCTAATACGTCTTAGAACTTTCTGACACAAAGGTGTTAATCACAGCAGGAGTAAATGAACCAGAGACTCAACTGAAACAAGTTCACTCTCTGAACTTTAAACTCCTCCTCCTCCTCCTCCTCCCACTGTTGAAGCTGCTGCTGCAGCAGAACTGACATTAAAAACAAGGAGATCTTTTTTTTCTTCCTCAACTCCCCTTCCTCTCCATCGGTCACTTTTTCCTCCTTCTCTGCCAAACATACATACACCTGTCCTCCACTGCCACCACCATCCTTCTCCTTCTCCGTTACCTCCTCCTTCTCCTCTCTGCCCCGCTGTAAGGAATGTATGAGACAGCATGTTTTGTTCTGCCCCTGCTTATATTCTGGTTTCAGGACTGGAAACCACAGCAGCAGACCTCCTGTGTCGCTGGGTTTAAAGACTGTTCTGCCTGTTTTGACTTTACTGCCTGTTCTCCTAATTCACGGCAGCTTCCACCCTGGCGGCTCTGAACCAGAGGGAATCTGCTGACTTTGGAGTATTTTCATCTTCTAAATCAGAGCCGCACACGTTCTCCTTTATGTGACGTGATTTAATTTCTTTTTTAATAAATCAAATTTTCAAAAAGACCACGAGAACATAGAGACCAGAAACAGCAGGGAATTCAGAAAACGACTCCTGGGATTTTAAGTTTCTTCCAGTATAATTATTTTATAATGTCTTTTGTCGTTTATTTTTGCTATATTTTGCACACTGTATATATTACCTGTTAATTATTTTAATATATTTGACTTTCTTTCTGTTTTTGGTCATTTTAGGGGTCAACTTTAAATATAATATTTCTCATTTTTATTTTGTTTTTATTGATTTCCTATATTATAAACAGAACTCCGAACCAATTATTCCATATTTATTGGTTTGGTACATTTGAACTTTGAACTTTTTGACCTTTATTTATTCTAACTTTCAACCCCCACTGACTAAAATTACCTGAAAATTATATATTCATGAAAGAAGGTCTGACAAAAATTAAATGTGAAACAGAGCTGTTGATCCAAACCAGTGAAATACTCGGTAGTAGTAGAAGGAAAACTACATCTCCTTCCGTCTCTGTCAGGATTTCACTCCTCACTCTGGGAAACATGTACAGTAGGAGGCGCTGCCCTCTCCAAACCCACCTGCAGATCTAGTTTCAGCCTGTGTTTTTGCAGCACTTACATTCAAATGTTATGTTTTCACTCTCATTTTTTTCTTTTTTTCTAAGGCCAGAGCTGTGGAGTCAGGGAGAGGTGCACTGGAGCGTTATGAAAATGAGGAGCAGGAGATTTCACCGCTGACTGATCAGAAAGTCCAGAACCCAAAGACAACAAAACCAAAGGCTCCGGTGCCATGTGCAGGTGCCTGTCTGTTACTGACAGCACCATGGAGATTTAACTGAGCTGGGAAACGCATTTAAATTGCACTTAAAATGTTTGGGGTTTTTTTTTAGCTGGAAAAGCAACAGAATAACACAAGAACAGAGCTTTACCTTTCATGGTTCCTGTCTCTCAGTCCTTCTGCTGAAGTTGAAGACACGGGTGCTGATGCTACAGTTGTTACTTTGGTTTTCCACAGTGCAAATGTCCAAAACAGGAGCCAAAACTCATCTGTGCTGCATCTTCCAGACGTCTCCGAATTCCGGCATGTAAAATGACGCCCCTGAAAAGACGCAACAACTGTCAGAGTTCTAGGTCAGCGGCGTCTGACTGCAGCTCTCTGGCATCATCCCTCTTACATCCAAAGACTGAGAAAACTGAACGTCCTCAGTCTGGAACCATGTGCAAGTGTAGAGTAGGAGGGAGGAGGAGAAAGAGGAGGAGGAGGAGGAAGAGTGTCAGGGAAAAGGGAGCAGAAAAAAGTGCTAGGAAACAAAGAAACTAGAAAAATGAGGGAGGGTCTGAGAAAGGGAGAGGATGAAAAAAGAGGGGGGAGTGCAGGGGGAGGCAAAGGTCTCCTCTGTTTCTGGTCCAACATGGATTCTGAGGCCGAGGCTAATTACTACCAAATGTTTGAAGGTCGGCAGCGTGAACACCTTAAATATCTGTGGCCCAGAGGACGAGACAAGAATTAGGGGTCTCTGGGGGCACACGCACACGCACACACACACTTGTGTGACAGTATCACTAACTACCTACATGACCAATTTTATCCTAATTTTCTGTAAGTGTTTTTATTGGATGGCCGCGTCTTGACTAGCTAACCTTTAGTTTCATCTAAACATTAGCGGAAAGTGTAGTCAGTTTTGTGGATTTATAACTTTTTATTCACTATTTTATTTTTATTCACTTCTTTTCCTGAATCATTTTTAAAATTTTACGATGCTCTACTTTAGCTAACATTTACATAAAAATCTTTATATTTCAGCCATTTCTTCGTGGCTGTAGCTCATCCACCGTTTCATCCAACATGATTTTCAGTTGAGCAGATATTTTATAGGTTCATAAAAAAGCCCCCATCTTTAAAACTTCAAGGGTAATTTCTGCTCATTTAAAGGCTTTCCCCTCACGGACCACTGGTCCTCAGAACACAGGAGCGCTGCCTGTCTGTTTGTGATTGTATTGCATCACCATCATTACTGTCATTAGAGCAAAAACAACAGGAAAAAAAAAGGGCCTGGACATGTCTGATGTTCCTGGCGACGTCGTCACAGAGCGGTTGTTAAACCACTTTGTTCTTTCCCACGTTTTTACACATTTGTCAAAGAAAGTCGACAGTGCAGCCGCTGAGTTAAAGCCCAGGGTTTTCTTGGCGATTCTAAGACCACAAGTCCTCCAGTCCTTTGAAGAGAATGATCTTTCTCTTTTATAATCAGTGTTTGGATCGTGAGAATTCCAGCACAGTCACACTCACGCGAGAGCAGTTAGTCACAGAGAAGTGATTTCCTTTAAATTGATACCAGAATCAAACGTTGGGACTTTGCGGCCCTTCAGGCACAGGAGCCTCAGAACCAGCCATGGAACCAATTAAAAAGAGGTGATAATTAGGTATTGTTTCCTAAGAGCCAGAGAAACATGTGCAAAATAATCAGTGGTTGAAGATGAGCTGCAGAGTGACATGGTTTCACTTTGCATTTTTTGGACAAAGAAAACTTTTTCACACTCTCACATATGTTCTGCCCAAACACTGCGTGTCATTTCACATTGTTTTTAAAAGTATCACTGGTGCATTTTTCATGACATCGCCTCATAAACTCACCGACCACTTTATTACGGTCATCTTGCTTCAAAGTCTTCAGAACTGCCTTTGGTCTTTGGTTGCGGCGTAGATTTGAAGAGACGCACGAGACATCAGAGAGTTTTATTTTCTCCCAAATTGACCTGGAAACAAAGGGAGAAAACACGTAGAGTCAATCTAAACGTTTGTGATACAGAGCGATGCAATCACAAAGTGGCTCCAAAGTGACCAAGAACACATCGGCAACACGAGCCGACGACACCACAACACCAAACTAACCCACAACAACATGTTACTGCTGCAAAAATTCTCACTTTAGGCACAAGACGTCACCGTAGTTTCAGATTACCTCAACTCTCAAATTAGATTACCTTAATCTCAGGAGCAGTGTCCAGTCTGAGCCAAGCTGCTGGACTTCATCCCCTTCAAGGCTCGTCATCTTCCGAGACCTTTGCTGTGACAGAGATTAGGTTCTATTGAGTTCATCATTAAAATGTAACATCTTTTTATGCCCTTTTTGTCATAATTCTGTTATATTTATAACTTCAGAATATGACATAGGTTCAGACTTAAAATGAATGTACACAGGAAACCATGACTTTTTTCTCCACTGCCTGTGAAGTTCACACAGACAGGGTTTACAAAACTCATTATATTTATAATTTTTATGAATTTTCTTTATGGATTACAATTTAAACAAAAAAGGTAAATGTGATACTATATTTTTTAGTAATTGGCAAAAAAAAAGTCTTGGCGATGATGCGATAAGAAGAGTGCTGCTGCCCTCTAGTGTCAAATATAAGTATTTAATGTCAGAAATTCACCGGCACAGTAGAAGCACAAATTCAGAGTAGAACTGAGTAGAAAAAGGACGTTGAAATGTAATAAAAAATTATTTAGGAAAAAATGTCAAATGTTTAAATGATAAATCTGCTACAAATGGCCCCTGTACGTGTTTATGTGTGTGTGAGGAGGGAGGGAGTAAGGTTAGGGTGGGATGGAGAGTGGTAAATTCATGGTTTTGGTTGAAGCTTTATTATCCTCAGTGGACTGAAACAAGTGTGGACTTGATACTTGACTCACCCACGAACCGTGTGTGTGTGTGTGTGTGTGAGTGTGTGTCCCTCTCTGCACCTTTGAATTCCCATAACCTTCATCACTCGCTCTGACGGGAAGTGTTTTCTGTGAAAGCTGTGAGTTGTTTTTGTATTTTCACATGACAACAGGCTCCACACTGACCTCCAGTCTGCAGACAATCAACGACAGAACAGCAGCCACAACAACTCCTCCGTCCTCCGTCACTGTTGGTTGACCTTGTTTTCCTGCAGTTTAATGAAGGATGTGAGCTCCGTTTTCTCCATCCTACGTCGGTCTGTCCTGAGCAACTAAAGCAGAAACACAGAGAAACACTCTGGTCTAATCGATAACCACGTGACCAGGCTCAGTCCCAGACCCATGTTTTTGAACTTTTTAACAAAACGCCCTAACATCGTTGTATTCTTTTGTTACTCCAATATTTATTTATTTTTAATTTCATATCTATGTTTGACATTGAGGTGATGTTGTGTCTGTGCAGTTTGGTGAACTACCCTTTGTTTCAGAAAAAGATTTATTATAATTTATTACTATTTAAACGAATACTTACCCAAATATCTTACACCTTTTTGATGACGTGACGTGGCAACAATGAGAGTGTTTTGTTGATGTGCCGCGGACGGTACTGTGAACAGTGTATATGCTAAATGATGAGTCACAGTCGGGATGAATCGAACGTTTGTTTGTTTCTCTCTCTGCTCAGCAGATCTGGACGCTGCTGCCAGGACATTACACATCTTCTGGAAAAGTCTTTCCACTCAGAAACGTCAAGTCACACACAGTAAAATGATGTTAAAAACGGGAAACATGAGTTCGATTCCACAATAAAAGCACGACTTTTTTTAAAATCGGTTAAAAAAGACCAACATTAAAAATATATATACTATATTTACGTGTATCAAAATGTGCAGAGTCTTAGCAGCATTAGCTTGACCTAGCCTTCGTGGCGACTGAGTTAGCGACTATGACGTACTTTAGCATGTTGCTAACATGGCGCTAATTAGCTTTTAGGCTAAACCAGCGGTTCTCAATTCAATTTCCGTCCGTTGAGAACCTGATGACATGTATATTGTCATCTGTACAAAGCACTCTATGTGTTGCTGCCACCTAGTGACTGGAGGCTTGTCATCATCAAGCATTACAGCATACGTCAAGCCCATATCCCCCCCCATGTTATTTATGTTACGTAAGTAAAATTCAAGTTTTATATATATTAATACATATATATAACATTTTTCGGTATATATTTATATATATACATATAAATAGGGAAATAAAGTTTTATATAAGTATATATATATATATGTATTTATACACACACACATATATATATATATATAAGATACAGGGCAACAAATAAATAATACCATGTAAAGTAGACCAAACTACATACTTCCCCTTTGACAATGTGACAGGTTAATACTGGTTGCCATGTTGATGCTGCACTGCTGTCACCACGTTCTCCTTGTCTCATCCTCCGTCTTCAGTTATGGTCTGTAAAAACAAAGGGAAGCCACACGTTCAGAAATTGATTTTACTTTGAAGAGCCAACCAGAACAGAGGTGTTATTTTTCTGCAGTTTCACAATAGCACACACGCATGCTTGGTCAGTGAATCACATGTCTGCTGCACCGTCACTGTTATCCTCCTCTGGTATAAATGTGAGCAGCAGAGACAGTGAAGCAGCTTCAGACAGTCTGGAGTCTCAGGAACAACCAGAGGTGAGTGACTCACACGGAGGAGACGCAGGTTCTAACGTCGTGTTTTTCTGTATATTTGGCTCTGCATATGCAGTTTAACAACAGCTCCACTATAACAGAATATATATTTATATTTATATTATTATAGTTTTTCTTCCTATGCGTTGCTTTCAGGACTGTTGTTATTTCCTGCATTTGGGTTTTATTTATGCAGAAATGGAGAGTGTTTTAGGAGATGCTTACTCACCGCTCTGTCATCTTTGTATCCAAACAAGTTCATTACAGTAGATGACGTCACGGCTGTGGTTGATTTTCAAGGGATTTTTTCTGAAACTTCATAACATAAGCAACTTTTATTTTTTATTTTTAACTTCAGCATTACAGTGATGATGGGCTGTTGGACCAGGGATAAAGAGCAGAAGGGATTTAAATTTTTTTAGGAATAAGTAATTTTGCAGACAAGGTGCAGAAATCTCAAATATATATGCAATAAGGTGGAGATGACATCACGTGTTTCACTGCCCTATTTGCTGTAACTGGAGCAGGGATTATGCAGATTAGTGGATGTTAAATCAGATTAAATCAGAAATCACAACGAAAAAAAATGGAAGTTCGTCTGAGAAGTTTGACTAGTTTTAGGGTAAATTAATGGAAAATAAATGAAAATTATGGAAAATAATATTTAAAAAAAACATTGGTTATGAATTGAATTCAAACTTTCTCTACGGTTTTTCACAGGTATTTAGAAAACTTTTATGGACCTGACCTGGAATTTAGCAATTTTTTACATTTAAATTATAAAAAAACAAATTTCTAGAGGTGATTTTGTGCACTGAGAGATGATTACAGTGTCAAAGAATGTTTTTAGATTTTGTGCACTGAGAGATGATTACAGTATGAAACAATGTTTTTTTGCCTCAAATATTTAGTATTAGAGGCAAAAACCTCTAAAAAAATGACTTTGTCAAACAAAGTCGATGAAGACAAAAGGGAAAATAGTTCCTTAGCCTCAATCATGGAGAACAGATGTTAGTCTCCACCCTGTGTTTGGCTTTATTAATCCACAAGTGAATGTTCTGGAAGCTCTGGGCTGCAGCCCAACATCTGGACTGAAGGTCTGGGACACTTTGCATTCTTCCAGTTGTGTAAGCAGGATCCCAGCAGCTGCCGTTCAGCCAGAAACCTCTGCATTGTAAACCATTCCACCTTATAGCCTCGCCTCCTCCCGCTCCGCTGCACCTCCTCTTCTTTTCTCCTCCCTGCACGTCAGCCTCCGCTCTCTCTCTCTCTCTCTCTGTGCTTGTTATTTTCCTTTCTCCTCATTAAAGACGTTCCTCTCTCAGTGCCAGGGTTTGTTTTGCTTTTTTTTTTCAGCCATTAAGCTGCAGTTTTATTGTCACACGTCAAACTCTGGCCTGTTGCGTAACGGCCTGCGGTTCTGCTGCTCTGTAAAATGTTCAACTCACACCAAAGTGTGGGCTCCCACTGTGAGGAGAAAGTGGGCTGCGTGTTCAGCTCCCAGGTGGGCGTTCGCTCCTGCTGCGCTCTGGAACATTTGGTGACATTTTTAGATCAGGAGCCAGAGGTGCAGACTTTATCTGCAAATGTGTGAGAACAGACAGAAGGAAGTACTGAAGAAGTACACGCCGAGTATCCAGGTCCTACGTAGGAGTGAGTGAAGAACACATTTTCATTTGTTCTATTCTTGTCATGTCATAGCAGCTATATATTTTATATATACTGCACATACATATACACATACAGGCAGTGTATATATTATAATAATAATGTAAGATTAGTGTATATACCATTGAAAACATTGGTTAACCAAATTACCTAATCTGGGTCATGGGCCACCTATTGATGACCTATTGATATTGTAGGTCATTATAGTAGTAGTCCAATGTCCACAGGGCTCAAAAATTCCAGGCCAAGTCACTGGAGAAGATTACGAGTCAGATCCAGGTCAAGTTGGAGTCAAATTAAGAAAGGTCGCGGTTCAGAGGATTCAAGTCCTCGCTGTCGTCTGGGTGTTTAAGGTTCAAGTCCCAGTCAGACAAAAGTCAAGCAGAAAATGTCGGACCACAACCACCGAGACCTGAAGCCTCAGCTCAAGGCTAACGTGATCAAACCAAGGTTAAACTTCAATGATGTCATAGCTTTGTTTGAGGAAGAGGAGGAGGCGAGGAAAGAGGAGACTGATGATGATTGACTGCAGAAATCAGGACAAGAGATTAGACTCACAGTGAGAGACTGATACTAAATGAGGAAAATCAGCACAGGAGGAAGAGGAGGAGGAGCAGGATGAAGGTGGAGGAGAAACCATGTGTCTGATGACCTTGAATCTGAGTTTGACTTAAACAGACAAACCCCAATGGAATCATGGGAAAAACACAGAGGGTGGAAGTCAGTGGAAATTTGCTTCTCAGGTCAGGGAGATGATGGAGATGATGAAGATGATGATGACGAGGATGTTCTTGCTGAAGGTTTGACGAAGCACAATCATCAGGTTTCACTTTCATATTCATCGGTACAGTTATTTTTACATTCTGCTGTGTAACAGCTCACTGGCTGCTGCTGTGTAAGCGCTTTCAATTTCTACTGCGTAGCTCCCCGCCCTGTTCGATTTAGCGGCTACTGTCGCCCTCTAGCGGAGATGTAGCGCTACTACAACAACATTGACGGTTTATTCTTTCGACTGGTTCCAGGTTTTTCTCATCATTGCCTGCTGGCCCACCGAGAGTCAGAGAGGATGTTAATGATGATGATGATGATGAAGAAGAAGAAGAACGGGTTGAAGTCTTTGGCCGTGGTGGCGCTGTTTCTGGCCACGGCCAACTGCATCGTGCCTCCATCCAAGGATGATCTGAATGGTACTTAGTGTGAAGTGACAGATTTTAATTTTTTACCTGTCAAATGTATTTGAGCAGATTCCAATTGTATGTAGTGTTCAAGAGTGCCATATCTCGTGCTTCTGTTGGCAGAGATTTCTCGTCAGGGGGAGAAGTATCTGGACAAACAGATTGAAACTGCCATCAATGGAGTTCAGGAGATGAAGAACGTGATGCAGAAATCTACTGAGGAGCACCAGAAGTACCTGGACGCCCTGGAGAAGACCAAGCAGCTGAAAGAAGTACGCTATGACAAAGCAGTGTTTCATGGGTTTGTCAGACATAAGACCTGCAGGCCAGAACTGAACTGCCAAAAAAAATAATTAATTAATTGATTGATTAAATAATTAATTAGCAGGCAGGAGGAATTTTGAGAAGAATTAAAACTAATAAGAAGACCGTACACAAATATTTAAAAAAAAAAAATCTTTAAAGACCAGTGAGTTCATGTTTTTGTCGTGATAAGTTTGGTAAAATGTACATTTTTAAAAATAATTAATTTTGGTTATATATAGATTTAAAAAATAAATCTCTTTTTCTCTCCTCCTCCAGGATGCTCTGCGTAAGGCCCAGGAGATGGAGGCCAAGCTGGAGGAGGAGGAGGAGGTTTGTAACGAGACCATGAAGACGCTGTGGGAGGAGTGTAAGCCCTGTCTGAAGAACACCTGCGTTAAGTACTACTCCAGGACCTGCAGCACAGGATCAGGACTGGTGGGCCGTCAGGTCAGACCCTCACACACGACCAGTGACATGAAATGAGTGAAGGGAATAGCTGAGTTTAAAGGTCACGGGTTTAGGTTTAGGTGGGTTCATACGTTTCTAAAGTTACTGTAAAGGAGCAGTTCAGTTGATCGTCATCAGTCTGCAGTAGATACAAAACACATCAACAGTTCCGTATTTTTCCTCTGCAGTTGGAGGACATCCTGAACAGAACGTCTCCCATCTCCATTTGGATCAACGGGGAGAAGATCGACGTCCTGGAGCAGGAGGACCGCAGACAGAAAAACCAGTTGAAAAACCTGGAGGACAAATACACAGTGATGGCCGACGGCGTGGACAGCATTTTCACAGACAGCATGAAGGTGACGACGGAACGGAGCGGAACGTTGTTCCACCCCAGGTGACGTGTGACACTGACGGTCTCCTCTGTCTCTGTGTCCTCCAGGTGGCCGACCACGTCCACTACAACCCTCCATCTTTCTTTCTTCCAACTTTTTTCGGACCATATTCTCGTCACCGCAGAGGCATCCGCTCAATTTTCCAAAATCCCTTTCATGGCTTCCATAATATGTTCTCCCCCATGATGGGAATGGGCAGGAACCTGTTTGGATCCATGGACTCCATGATGGACGTGGACATCACTTCAGATGAAGGTATGAACTCCCTGGCTGCCTTTTAGGTTTACAGACCAGAAGAAAACCATTATTGATAATCCCTGACAGAAGTTCTTCTGTTTGAGTGTGATCAATCAGAGGATTTACATTGATAATCCCTGACAGAAGTTCTTCTATTTGAGTGTGATCAATCAGAGGATTTATTCCACAGCTAATTTAAAACTCTGCTCTCTGTTTTGCAGACACCAACATGAACGAGGACGTGGTGATCACCAAACCCTTTGGAAACGGCAGGATGACCTGCAGGGAGATTCGCCGAAACTCGGCCGGCTGCATCAAGTTCCGTGACGAGTGTCAGAAGTGCAAAGACATCCAACACATCGGTGAGTCAAAACCTTCACCCCATTGGTTGAATTTTGCTACTTTTGACCGATGATGTCACTTTGCAGACTGCTCTGGGAAGAAGCCTCTGGAAGGCCCCCTGAAGGAGGAGCTGGAGAACGCCCTGGCGCTGGCCGAGCGTTTCACTCAGAGGTACAACTCCCTCCTGAGGCGGTTTGAGGAGCAGATGTTCAACACCTCCTCCGTCCTGGACCTGTTCAACAGGCAGTTTGGCTGGGTGTCCTCCCTGGCCAACAGCACGGACAGCAGCGACGGCCTCTTCCACGTACTGACGGTGCGTCGAACCACAGTCAACTCCGGTTGTTTTGGTGCCTGAGGCCAGATTATAGTTTAGCGCCCCCTATTCAGTTAAGGGGGTATTTTAATCTTGAGGCTCTTCAGTGAAACAACATGTTTTTTCCTGCAGTTTGCGTCAATAACGTGTTTTGACTGTGTTTTAAAACAACCATAAGCGGAAGTGGAATTCGTTCTACAGATTCATGGAAATGCATTCAATATGTAAGACGATTGATTGTAGTAATAATTCACAGTAGTGACTTTAACTGTACCTTCCTGTCCGCCCCTGAAGGTGACCTGCAACGACAACGAGAAGACGTCCGACGAGGAGAAGCAGGAGAGTCCTGCAGAAACAGACGTGTCAGTGAAGCTCTTCGACTCTCCCACTCTGAACATCAGCGTTCCAGGAGATATTCCCTGGACCGACCCCAAGTTCTCTGAGGTGGTGGCCCAGGAAGCCCTGGATCGTTACAAGGAAAACGCTGTGTGAGTGTGAAGATGTAAAAAAAACAAAAAGTCTGAAGCTGCTTCTTTTTCTTTAACCATCGCTGACTGTTTCTCTACTTGTGTTTTTGTTATAGCATCGTCAAATAACTTCACTGATGGGTTTCACCAAGAATCCTCCTCCAAATAAACTTCACCTGAATCCGAGGATCCTGATGTAAATCCCGCTTCTGCCAACGACAGCGTGTAACCTCAGTCACTCCTGTCCGAGCTCTTCGTCCTGCTGTAAATGAAAAATATTTAGTGGAAAACTGGAAACTTCCTCATTATCAAAGCCTTACCGTGCGTCACATGACCTTTGCTTAAACAGGCCTTTATTAAGATACGTTTATGTTTAAAGTCCAAACCGGTGTGAATTCCTGATGATTGTAGATTTAATTTTTACTGTTGTTGAATTTGATGCTTTAAGTTTTTTTCGAGCTTTTGAGTCAGTCATTGATTAAACTTTGTGATAGACTACGTCAGGAGAGTAGCTTTGAATCCGTCTGTGCAGCTGCATAAATATAGAGCAATACAATGAGATGTCAATAAAACCGGTTTGTTCTACATTCCAACTTCTCTCTGCTCAGACCTGTTATTTTTGGTAGGATTGGTGAATGAACATTTCACCTGGTCCGTCTGGTCCCTGATTCTGAACTCCTGTAGAACACGTTCATTATTTCAGCCTCTTCAAACATCCCTTTTCAGATCCCTTCTGTTTTATTCCCATCAAACTAGACTGTCCAGTCTTTCCGAGATGCTGTCTTTGATCAACAGTAATATTGTAACATGCTAACGTTTGATTCGGACCTAATTTAGAAGCAGGTAAACGACAGACCTACTGGAGGTTTCTGAAAACATTTCACCTGGTTTAACAATGAGCTGCAGATCAGCTGAAGTGTGACGGAGTCATTAGTTACAACCACATGAGGCACAGGCTGCTGTTGACCTAATCTGATTGGTCAGCTAAAAGGTGGACTCGAGTTCAGCCCAGGTTAAAGGTCATCCAACACAAGAACCAGGTTGTTATTGTCTAATGACAGCTAGAGTGGCAACATTTCAAGTTCAGGATTAGATTTTAGTGCAGTGAGAAATGACACTGATTTGTGTTTTCTCTGTTGGATGAAAATAGTTTTGAAGTAACAGAAACATCAGTGTCTGTATTAGACAGAACCTGACCTGATCAACACCAAATGTCAGGCGTCAGGTAGTTTTCCCACACATCAGGGGTCACTACAGTCCAGGTGTCTTCAACCCTTTTTTTTTTTGCAACAGTCAGTGACAAGAGCAGGGTTTAAAATATTGTGCCGTTTTTATTTTTTGTGTAAAAATCACACAGCTGCTAGTCGACTCTGCAGAGATACAGTACATCCATGCAGTTACACATCTAGGATCCCACAGCCAAGAGAAAAGGAATTAAATAGAATATTCTTTTTCTGCTGTTAGTCAGCAATTAATGCAAATTTACAGGAGTCCAAAAGTGTGTGTCATATACAATATACACAACACAGATCTGGGAGCAAATGGCATTCAAAATCCCACCAAGAAAAGACTGTCAGCGTTTACTTCTGCCTGCCTGGATTGCCTTTTTAGGTCTAGGGAAGAAGAAGGAGAAAGAGGAGGAGGAGGAGGGAGCTTTTGTGCTAGCAAACAAACCAACACATGAAGGTGTTCAACAGAGTTTGAAATGGTATTAGTTCCAGGTCTGGGAACAACAGAACACACACACACACATACACAGAACTGTCATTGTCCACAAAATCGGGGAAAAAAAAAAGTTGAGTCAGTCGACAGTGACGGAAACCTGAATACCAGTCAGGAGAGAAGACGACCAGATTCTCTAGACACACGCACAAAAAAGAAAATAGGGACTACACCTTTAAAACATAAGAAGTTATAAGTTATATCACACACACAGACACTGCAGGTTGAACCAGAGGGTTGTAAAAGTGGAGTGGTGTGTGTTGATGTTTATCTTAAAGCATTAGGGTTTTATTTAAACACAGGTGAGAGACAAAGAAAGAAGGTCAAAGTGCAGTAAGGTCACTCAGGTCTCTCCTTCTGTGGACTGGAAGCATCATAAGTCAGGTGACATCTGACCCAGAGACGGAGATGAAAACAAGCATACAGCAGGTGGCGTTGTTTTTTTTTAAGATTTATAATTCACTTACAATTTAAAAAAATTTTAAGATTTATAATTCACTTACAATTAAAAAAAAAACTACACACACACAAACACACACAGATGCTACTGATCAAAGCACAAACAGCCCAGAGGAGTTGGTGCGTGGAGATGGAATCGCCCGTTGCTTGCATAGTGAACAGTGCCCCTGGTGGAAATCTGTGGAATTTGTTTTTATTTCTAAATCATCACCACCTTGATCGTTCTCCTGGTTTAGGGTTGGGTCTGAGTGAGAAACTCTTCATAAATATCAAACCAAAATCTTCATGTGGACCTCTGTACGTGTCGACGTGAAATGTTGAGTCAAAGAAGAAACCAGGACATGACCGGAGATGGAAAATGCATTTGTGTTTTTTTTTTCTTCGTTCTTCTTCAGAGTCAGAGAAGAGGTGAGAAAAGAGAGGAGTGACAGTTCAGTCATTTGGCATCAAACAGTGTAACACGAGAAGAACAGCAGCGCACGTTTGTGTCAAGATCCAAGGGCAGCAGAAAGAAGAACGTGGGCTGGATTGATATCACAGGATGAGTCGAAAACAAACAAACAAAAAAGCCTTCACCGTGATGATTTTGCCAATAAAGGCATCTCTCTCTCTCACACACACACATATATATATAGATGCCCTGTGTGCAGAGGCAGCCTCAGTGTGTCTCACAGCCTTCACCAAACACCAGTTAAAAAAAAAAAAAAAAAACCCAAAAAAACTGAAAATGCTCCCTGGTTGGCCTCAGTGTAGAGAGAGAATGGAGCTGTGTGGTAACGAGCAGCTTCAGGCCGTGTGTTTACCAACAACGTGTCAAAATCCCTCAAATATTCTGCAGGTGACTCGGTTGATCCAAGGAAAAACCTCATACTTAGACTCAATCATCGCCAAAGGTTCAATTTAAAATGTTTTAGCCGGAGTTGGGAAAGACGTCTGTCGACCCTGTCTTAATGCTAAGATAATCGCAAAATGTAACGTTTATGTTTAGGTTGAAAACGTGGGCTACTTCTGCAGGAACATCAGATTTGTCACCTCGTTCCTTTGGCTGTGGCCAAATACACTGGTGCTCGCCTCCAATCACAAAACAGTACACCAATACACAGACATGAGACACACACAGACACACACTCAGCCGCTCTTCTTCAGTCACTCCGAGGGTGAAGTCCTCAGACACCGGTGTCTGCAGCGTCTGGTCCGTGTCTCTGAACCGTTTCCCGGCTCCTCGCCGCCACCTCTCCTTTGAAAGATTGAAAAAGTGCCTGTCTCGTCCTGTTCCCGTCACGCTCCTCACTCCACACTCTCCGTTAAGACCGCGCACCTGGATCCGTCGGGTTTTGTGATTGACAGTTGTGACTGAGTTTTATCACAGGCTGGGAGCCTCTGGGTGAAAGCGGGGGTGATGGAGGGAGGACGGCGTGGGAGGATTCACACAGTTTTGTTTTGTTTTTGTTTTTTTAGAGATGAGAGAAAGGTCTGAGCTGCTCCAGCTGGACTTCCAGAGATATTCTCTCTTCAAGCAGATCCTAAAAAAAAAAAAAAAGAGGTCACGATGTGAGTAAATGTGTTTGGGTGGAGAGGCCATGTAAATGATTTCCTTCAAACCTTCAACTGTTGCTGCAGTTCACTGTTCAGTCGTGCCAACACCGTGTTTGTCTCCTTGTTTCTTCTGATTGAAGCTTGAATGGACTTTTTATCTTTTCCTACTGACCTGAAGACACAAAATATGTGAAATGCAAAAAACCAACAACACAAAAAACAGTGGGGCTTCAAGATACGAGCTCCCCAAAATACGAGTTTTCCAACTTACGAGTAAGCAACTTTGGCAAGATTTTCACCGTGACACAAGTTAGTTATTTTTAATGGGGAAACGCATTCAAGAGTGCTGTTGTGGAACGGATTAAACTCGTGTCTTGAAGCCTCACTGTAGTGTAAAAAGGCTTCGTTGTCCAACCTGGGGATGGAGGGCTGGGCGGACAGAACAGCAGTTATGACGTTGGACTTCTGTGGACCGTGCTGCTCATCCTCTGGCCGCAGCTCATCTTCAGATTTCAACCTCCGGCGCACAGGTTTCGGGGGAGGAGCTAAAGGACCGGACGACCCTTTCACCTGAGGGACGAAAGTCAAGCCACGTTAGGAGAATGACAGCAAAAAACGTTGAAAATTAAAGCATCCTCCTGGTTGTGATTCTGACACAAACTGAACTATGAGCATCAGTGATAATAAACTCCACATGAACTCACAGAGTTGACCGCAGCCGTGGGTCTCTCGTCAGCTTGACCGTCACTCTTCACGGTTCTTAAAGGGCCGGCGCCCTCTGGAGCTTTTTCCACCTGTGGACGCACAAACACAGTACAAATAGCGGCAATTTGACTTTCGATCGAGAAGATAGAAGTTCCCCCTGTATCAACAGCAGCTGGAGGTGGGACACGTACCGGTCCGGCTTCGGCGTGTTTGTCCACCTCGGGCAGACTGGACGGCTGCTCAGAAGTAGCAAAGGCCTGGAACTGACTGAAGTCTGCAAAATTGGGCTGCTGTGGAATCTGCTGGGGCGACGTTGTGGTGAGAACTGTGCCTCCACCTGGTCCGGCCTCGGCCTCGACGCGATGCCCAGTGTGTGGTACCGATGTCTGTATTGTCAGAACAAATTAATAAGTTAACTATATCTGATTTTTGTTTTAGAAACAGATTTTTTAAAGCATTGGTCAGACCTGCGTAGGTAAAGGCCGAGGTGGAACAGCCGGAGGGAACGCTATCGTCGCCGATTGTGGTTGTCCTGGGGCCGATGCTGCGGCGAAGGTGCGGTTCATGTCCAGAGAGGAGGAGCGGGAGTGGGATGGGTGAGGGCGAGGCGGAGGGGGAGGAGGAGCGACCACCTTCAAAGCCTCTGGAGATGCACCTGACTGAGACCTGGACCCAACAGTTTGATGGAGTGGAAACAAAAGGTGAGACTCAACAAATGACTAATGAAACTTAAATTAAAAAGAACAAAAAACAAACAAACAAAAAAAGACAGTTCTGACCTTTGTCTTGTGATTGGCTCCTGGTCTGATGTGAAGGAGTCTGAACTACTATAACCATCACCTTCAGGGAAACAAAACATTAACAGACATTTGAACTGATTTTCCTGCAGAAATACATTTTTAATCATTACAGAGAAAGATCATTAGAAGTGAA